GGAGAAAAAAAACACCCTCCCCCAGAAAAAAAGTCCTCACTCCCCTACCAAAATAAATCAAATAAATATTTTTACAAAGTGAGTTTGTAAAAGTAGAAAGAAGGCCCATAAAACCTCTTCTTGCTTTTTCTAGTGAAGGCAAGGATGATAATGCAAATATTTCGGCCACCTGAATCACAACTCTTCTCCCACCACTGACAACAGTGGAGAGCTATTCCTTTGTTCTGTACTGCAAGCGTAGCCTTTCTATCTACAAAGCAAGGAACCAGACAGATTAGTAAACCTAAAATTCTTTGGAAAGCCATTAAATCACTTGAACCTTCCTGATAACTGCAGCGAAGTGTCAAACACATTTTGCTGAAATAGTTTCTGATCACCTATAGGATTTTTTCAACAGTATTTTTATGGCTGGAATAAAGCTTAAATGTTTAATCACATGGCTACTTTTCTGTTTATAGCCATTGCAAGCTGCACACTGCAGTCATCTTTCTTATGATGTCCATGCTCATATTTAAAAAAAATAAAGATACAAATTATATAAAATTTCTCTAGTTGCCAAATCTGACTTCGCTTAAAACAAAAAAAACCCCACAACTTTCTGCTCAACCCACATATCCAACCATAGCATATTCAAAATATGAACATTGGGCCAATCATACTTCCCGGTTGTGCTCACTTGTGCTACAGGGATTGTTATTAACCATTTTAAGTGCAAGTCTAGCAGTCTGCTTAAACTGATTAAAAATGATTATGTATGTGCCTAACTGATGTTATTTCAACAACTGTTCGGCAGTGATGCGGACAGAAACGTTTGATACATGTACCAAAAAGGCATGGCATAGAAAATCCAGTGATATTCAAGCATAAAAAGCCAAATCAAAAATCACTTAAATTTAAAAACGAAATGTTACAGGATTAGCACAACATTTGTACTCACTGCTCACTGAAAATATATCAAATCAAAAAATTGTCGTCATTTGCGAGGCCTGTGCTACGGTGCCATTAGGTGCCTAATTGTATGTTTGAATAAGCCTAGAAACCCTGGATTCTTATAACAAGCAAACTTCAGAACAGAATGTTCAATGCAAACATGACTGCTCCTGCACCTATAAAGTTTAGGTTTACAAGGGCATCAAAGTCAGCAGCAAGTCAAACTCTTGCTTTTAGGAGAACAAGGCTTGCATTTGTGGACAGTTTGGGATGTGTTCAAGATGCATTTATATCGATTTAGTGGCATGATGCATTAAAAATTAAATAAAAATTGTGTACACTTCTCCACAAGATGCAATTCAAACACTGCAGTCCACATCCATCACAAAATTCTTCTCAAACTGTCAAAGGCAAAAGCTCAATTAGCGTAATCTAGTTTTTAAAAGTGACTAGGGGCTTTATAGCACCAGCAAGGTATCTGAGCAGGAAACATCACTATTTTTCTTCCGGAGGTCATACAAGAGCTCTGTGTGGTCTCCTGGAGTGCTCAAGAAGCTACTAAAGGCTATGTGGTGGTACATAAGGGTGATTATACATTCGTGTTCCACTTTACAGAATAGAAGGTTTAAAGCTGAATTCTAAGCAGCTACATAAAAACACCTGCAATACATATGTGAACCTTATTTATGACCCAGACATCCCTGCCAGACAGCAAAGCCAGATCTTCAAACTCCTCCACTGCACCATCAGTACAGCCAAGTCAGGAACACTGCAGCAGTCTGCTGACTGGACAAATGATTAGACTTGCAGCGATGAGTCATCACTCTTTTCTCCTAATATGCATACAGTATATTAGAACCAGTTGGTTTCTAGTGCTGGCCCTAGCACTTCAGTCAAAGGGATTGCAGGTTTGTGAAATTAGGTAAAATACTTTCACTAGAATAAAAATACGTTGCATCATAGAATGCATTTAAACAAACCATGAAGTAACGCCGTTAAAAGTAAACTTTCACATCCTCTTACTATAGTCTCAACAGCATTGAGCTGACACCGAACATAGAAGGACTTACTTCCCAAGGTGGTGGAGGTGGTTGTGAACTCAAATCGGGTGACTTCCTTCTGTCCATACTGTAAGACACTTACAAGCTGTCCCTCATATATTACTCCAGGCTTCAGACCAGAAATTGTATATGAATTCAGATGTCCTGGAATGGTGGCTTTTTTCCAAACAACTTGCTTGTTTTTCTAGGGAACAGAACAAAAAAACAAACAAAACCCAAACATTTAAATGGTACACTTGTATAAATGCAAGTATCACAAAGATTGACCCTGCCTCAAGAAGGTAAGGATTTGTGGGTGCCACTGGAGCAAGCAAAGCTTGAATGTCAGCAATAAACTTACATTTTTAATGTAGAATGGTTGGAAAGGTTTCAATGTTAGTCATTGTCACAAACATGGAGGCTTTCATTATGCACCCTTAATGAGCCCGATTCACCATCAAGATAAGAGCTAAAACAATTATGGATTTATCGAGTCCTACGAGAAATGCATCAGCAAACCAGAAGCATTTACAGTAATTATGAAAACATGTTGCTTATCTTACTTTTAGACTTCACTAATCATTTGTGTTTATTATCATGGTCTACAAAGACTTCTGAGTTTATGACCACAACCATGGGTGGCTAACCTGAAGTTAAAGAACATGCTTGGGTGGCAGCCTTTTAGCGCTTACACCCAACATCTTGAAACAAAAAAAAGGGTCCCAGTAAAACCCCAAATGACAGAGGTTTTTAGTGTAGTGTTCAGTTTACTGTAGAATATGCTAGGCCACTTTTCCATAAATTAAAAAAGAGGAACAAAGACAGGAAAATGTGCAGCCAAACACCTGCTGTGTTATATTTTGGCTGCCAAACAATCATACTAAAATTATTGCAGCAGGGAGTCCATGCAAAGAGATGCATCACAAAAAGATAAATCCAGCAAAGTAAGAATGATGGGTGGTCTGTTTTTCCACAGCAATTGAGATTTTCTGAATACAAAAGCAGAAAGCTTCCAGCCAAGAAGCTACGTTATCAAACTCTCCAGACAGGGATATGCAAACAGATCCTAGTACTTGAAGATGCCAAAAAGTGGTTTCCAAGAATTCCATTTTTAATCAATCTATTATCTACATTTTTGTGTGTTGCCAAAGATGATTCAGACCACTTGTACTTTTTATGACCTTGCTAAGATTGTAAACGGAGTAAAGAAAAGAAAAATCCACAACAGAGAGCTTCTCCACAATTGTACGCTGAAAACTTAAACTTTGTTTTTACCAATCCTTTTCCATACTTATAATAGAGTGGGACTCAAAGTTAGGGGCAGGTATATAGACTCAGGAACTAAAAGTCTACATGAGACATGAGACCAGGCAAACCCTGGTAGATGATACAAAAACTGAATACATTAAATATAATCAAAATATCAAGGTAAAAATTAGGCCAGAATAGAGAATCATTTTTTTTACTAAAGAGCTTTCCGTTGCCAGTGATGAGTCTTTATTTCAAAAAGAGCAGTTAACCAGGTGCTGGTTTAGGGATCACCGATATCTTATGTTCCTGTTTTATGAAGCAGCCTCATCACATTCATTTTTTGTTAAAGCTCTCACAATCCTTTGAGTGAGCCATCATGATGTAAACATTAGGACAGTCAATATAATATTAGCAGTGATCAAATAGCATTTTGGAAGCAAGAGGGGACTTACAGGTTTCCAGAGGAGGACGTATTGCTTGATGTGCGACTGCTGAGGTGCGGTCCATTGAATGGGGTGCGAATTAGGGTGGTTAGCATTTTCAGTGATGATTACCTGGACGGGTCCAGATCCAGCTATTACAGAAGTAAAGTTCACAGAATTACATTTATATAAGTGGACACATACAAATTTCAGATGCATCAGACCTTACTGTTTAGCACAGACTACTTAAGATGTTGCTGAAAAATATTTTGTTTGGGAACATACCCCAGGTAGCCATCCAAGGATACAGGTAAAGCTTGCCATACACTTCTAGATTATCTGCAGATTTTCTATGGTCAGATGGAAAAAGGCGAGACAGATTCCTCCATCTACGCTAAACTGTGTGGATAAGGGAATCTCCCACTGGGCCAAGCTTCAGTATCTTGCTAGTTGGCCATGCTGGCTCTTAAAATACCTGAACAATGCCTTCATCCAATCAGATTGTTAAAGGTATTTTGGACAGCCAATCTAGGCCAACTAACAAGATACTGGAGCTTGGACCAGTGGGAGATTCCTCTAGCCACAAAGTTTAGCATAGATGGAGGAATCTGTCTTGCCTTTTTCCCATCTGAGCATAGAAAATCTGCAGATATTCTATAGGTGTACAGTCTTAAAAACAGCAGATGACTGCCAAATTTCAACAAATTTTATGCATCACTCTGTAATATCTTAGACCAACATACATGGACTTATATTCACAATTCCGGTTACAGATCCATACAAGACAGACGAGTCTTTACACGCTGCCCGGCTAATCAGAAAGCCAGGTGGCAAGTCATTACACGCACCTGGCTATGCAGCGCCCGAAGTGTGTCACCCGCACCGTGGCCCAATCGGTCCTCCGATCCGGCCATGGAGTAACTCCCGGAACCCCCAGAGCAGCGGCACCCGACTACTAGCCCTCCGGTCCGAGGGCTCAGCCAAGGGGGTAGCGCAGTTCCGGTACTGGCCCTTCTAGGGCACTGAAAAAGGAGGACCTGGTGCGGAATCAACAGCGGCAAGTGGAGCGCACCAGCGGCCCATATAAAAAGGTAACAATGTGAAATCCCCATACCAAGGTACTGGCTTGGAAGGACCCATGAAAAGACCGAGCGGTACACATCTCCATAGAGAGGCCCCCTCGCCGTTCCGGTGACATGCTCCCCCCTGACGGAGGAAACACGAAAAAAACTGAGGAGCTAGGAGAGAGGCGGGCTTTTGAAACTGAGGGTGACGCGTTTCCTAATAAAAGGGATGGAGCCTCTCGCAAGCTGTTCTGGAGGACGAAAGGGAAAGCAAGATACAATACTCAATGTTAAGTGCATCGGAGTACTTTAAAAAAGGAGAACAATGGGGGGGGTCAGTGCTTTTCCCCAAAGTTCTCCTAAGGGTCACGGGAGGACACAAACTAGCATCCTCCCGTGACCCAAAGCTCAATATACCGCGAGCTATAGCTCGCAGTATACCGAGACCGCCGCAGCCGGGACGGATCCCGGCATTACTGTAGAGATCCACCCAGCTGCGTGATTGACAGCTGGCTCTGCCTACCCAGAGGCAGAGCCAGCTGTACCGCCCCCTCCCCATCAGTCAGCGCTGGAGGATCGGACAGAGGGGGGAATCCCTGCAGAGAGCCGCGAGTGACAGTCATGGCTCTCTGCAGGGACAGGGTCGAGAAGTGAGCGAGCGACGGTATGTGTTCGCTCACTTCCAGATCTATTGAGCCCATGTGTGACAGTTTCATTGTCACACGTCGGCTCGAACTATGAGGGTGAGTGATTTTCACTCCTCATAGTTCCTTTAAAATACCCGACATAGCAAAATTTTAAAGAGCGGGATAATATCCAATACAAGGCTGGCTAAACAAAGGGATCATTTCACACATGGAAGCAGACTTCTCTGCTCTAGGTTTAGCAAAATCCACCTTATTTTAAAAGTGAAGTGACCAGAATGTGCAATTAGGTGAAGGCTGTTTGTAGCCAGCATCACTGCTGTGTTGAAAGACCACATTAATAGTTTACTTATTGCAGCAGAGTTGACATGTGGGCAGCTAAAAAGTTCAATGGTTCCTGGAAGCATTGGCGATTGCACTATTGGTCAGAGAAGGACAATAACCTGACCTTCATCCTTCATTGCAGAGACAGTTTTAACTCAAGTCATTTAACTCAAGTCATAAAAGTAGGCTTCATGCTTTAGTGCATGAAGCCTACTTGCCCATTTTACTGGATAAAACATCTACTATATCCAGAGAGTAAGAAAAATATTCATGTGAAACAGAATTCTCCAAAATAATGAAACTATATTACCTGGGTAGGAACGAGGTTGGCAGTGCCATTCGCCAATCCCTTTTCCATAGCAGTAACACTGGTAACTAACACCATTTGCAACCTTCTCCCAGGAGTCACCAATTTGGAAGAATTTTTGTGATTCAGTTTCCTGGCACTGATCTGAAATATAAAAAAAAAAAAAAATGGGATTAAACAAACTAGCATAAAAAAAACTGTGCTATACATATAAATAAAATGATTAACAGGCAAGGAAAACTGGAAAAAAATAATAATTTTATAGGCAAGACTACTGGCCAGTAGTCTTACCTACAAGTAAACAATCTTTGCAAGGGAATGTGGTCACTTGGCAAATACATAAATCACATGCAGAGCCATAGCTAGCCCCTTTTGTGCCCGAGGCAAGAACAGAAAATTATGCCCCCCAACAGACGTGTGATGTCACCAGACACTGCACATGCGCGGCATCATGTGACATCATGGGCCCCGCCTCCGGGATGGAAGGGAGGAGGAGGAGGGAGCGCTGTCACTTCAGGGTGGCCAAGTAGTGAGGAGAGAAAGAGCCGCCGGCTGTCAGATGCTGGCCGAGCGGCTCTCTCCTCACCGCTAGGCTGTCCTGAGTGGACGGCTCTCTCCTCCACCCAACGCCCCCTGGATGCAGCGCTCCATTTCTTATCGGATCACTGCTGCCTCTGCCCATACAGGCGGGAAGAGCAGCAGGGATCCGAGGAGAAGCTGGATCCTGTGCCACCCCTCTTCTCCCTGCTGAGCCGCAGCGGTTTGAGCCTGTGCTCCCATGGCAACAGAGGCTAGGGGTCACAGCCAGGCCGGCCCTGGCTGCGCCCCCTCAGCTGCCCGAGGCGAGTGCCTCACTCGCCTCATGGTAGCTACAGCCCTGATCACATGCAAGAATAAAAAAAATTAAAAAACCCCACCTCATTCATGAAGCGAGAGGAACATTCCCTTTGCAAAGTGAACAGTCTAAAAACTCCGAGTGTGATCAACCACAACTCTGTAGAACCTATTTGTTTGCTGCATTAAAACTGCTGCAGATGGGGATATAATTGGAATCTGTTCTTGCACCCAAAGAAGTTTGTTCCCTTTTAAGATTTCAAACCCCATTTCACACGTTGTTATTCTTAAAAACATAGGTAAAATATGTTACCACAGATGTACCATTCAACCACCAACCAAGACCATACAAGCATTTTAATTGCTATGTACTGAAATGTATACTGTCTACCTTTGTCCTCAGGAGCAGCCCATGTGGCTATAAAAATAAGACCCAGTTGTGACCATTCCCAGGGCCGGTGGTGGCATAAGGGGGAACTTGAAGAGCCGCGGGAGAGGCAGGGGAGAATCAGCAGTGCCAACGAAGCCAGCGCTAGAGGGAGCAAGGCGGCACCGGAGGGAGTCGAGCCACATAAGCCTATGCCTCATCTATAGCGCCGGGTCCCGTCACAGGCGGAGTGATACCAAATGCACTCCGCCTGTGAGGAAGCGATAGTGAAAGTGCGCTTCGCTCATTCTGGCCAGCGATTGGTTAGCAAATTGCTCTTGGAAAGGTACGGCACCCCTGATCACCATATTTTTGTACATGTAGACTGTTGTACATGAATAAGTGTGGATTGTTGTACATTAAAAATAACACCTACCCCAAAAATAAGACCTAGTGTTTTTTTAAAGGCAAAAAAAATATAAGACAGTGTCTTATTTTCGGGGGAAACACTGTACCCTGACCTAATGTTTCTGAACCTAGGGTATTAAATCGATAAAAAATGGATCGCAAAGTGATAGCGAGATGGTCATATTGTACATGCACATTGTTCACGAATATCTAACAAAGCATTTCAAAATAAAAACATGCCGATTAGCAATACAGCAGAGTGACAGGACCACATACATGCACATTATTAACCGAGACCTCAGAACCTGAAGTCGTATCTATGATAAATGGCTGATGTGTTAAGCAAGCCTGTATAAAGTTAACAGAATTGACAGACATGTTATAGTATGATGGATTTCAGAAGTCCCTGACATTTTTACTAGAATACATGCCAAGCAGCAGGATTTGGCCTGTGTGGTAAAAAGATTAGAGCCCAATGGAATTTGTGGAAGGGGAAGCCCTATAGCAGAGTCTCCAGGGTTCTCTTGGATCAATGAATGTACTTTACATTTGCCTGATAGGAAGAGGACCTATGGGATACTTTTCCAGTCCACTAAAGAACATTCTTTGTCTACCTAGAAACAACCAAGTTCATGTGTACAGCTTTTAGTTGTCTTTTTGGACTGTGCCCGGAGAGACCTCAGCCTATTGAATGCTAGCCAAGGAAAACAGATAGAAATGCAGAGTTCATCAACTGATTAAATAAACAGATTAGAGGTTGTCCTACACTTTGCCCTCATCCACCCCTGCTAGTACAGGGCCACACCACCTTAATTTTTTTAGACTGTTGCTACTGTGGAGGAAGAGCATAATACTGGATAAGAAGATGCTTGATAAAAAGAACAAACAATTTATGAGCCGCCATGTGGGAAATATACGTGACCAACAGTCATCTGAAAAAATAAAATAGAAAACCAGCTGCACTCCTTACCGGAACAATGGAAGCCCTGCAACAGCAGGTGGGTGCTTGTAGCGACCATGGACGGCACCGTGTATAGTACAAGAGTGTAAAGTAAATGTCACCAGCACACCAAAAGTATTTCAGCAAAAGTCAGTTTATTGACACATTGCCATTCAGTACAAGTGCTTTCAGGGCCTCAAGGGTACCCCTTTATCAAGCTCATGAGATGCATGGTTTCCTTTTACCAGCCCATACAGTCTGCTGGCAGGGGGTGGTTTTTAGCCTCTTTTTGAATCAAAAAACAAAGTTAAACTCTTCAAAGTCACTATAATGTAATCAAACTAATATGTGGGGGGGCTGGGAAATCCTAGAATAATGCTGGAAAAGGAGGCAAAGCAGAGAGAACCAATTGCCTTCTGGCATGGCCATGTGGTCCACATAGGCAGCATATTATCTGTGTTAAGTTCTCAAGGCAACTTCTGCACTGTTAAAACTGCAGAACTCCCCAATATTCTAAAAGTACAAAAACACAATGGACACCACATGGAACATACAAAAGTGATAATGAGATATAATACATAACTCATTACAACCATATTTCACTTTCAGTTTACAACGCTATATATAAAAATATACACACACACACACACAATCTTGTTAATTATCTGATGTAGAACGGTAGTTGTTTTTTGTCTAGTAACAGCGACCGCTATTTATGTATAATATACCTAACTCTACTGCACTTCAAAAAGACGTACAAACCCCAAGTAGATAGAAACATTGTTGTGAAGTGTAGCAGCAGAATTTGTACACCTGACTCTACAATGTTAAGCTTTGCTCATAACTAACTTACCCACAGCATCACACTTCCATCTGCCACGTCCCTGGCCAAAGCATGTGCAGTTCATCAAGTGCCCCTCCTCATGATATTTGTTGAAAGAGTGATTTATATCATAAGTAACGCCATCCACGATGCACTGATCTGTTCCAGAGGGAAGCATAAGAAAACAGACATTAGGTTTTACAAGCTTTTGAAAAGCAATTTACAGTTTTAATTAAGTTTTAGAGAGCACGTCCTTTAAGAATTCTGCTTGGCAAGAGAGAAGTGCGTGTGGGGTGTCATCATGCAGGATTTCTATATTATCTAAAGATTTCTTGGCAAATATAGATGTCAATCAAAATTACTTTACATCAGACTTAAGCCATTAAGTACATGGCCAATATTGCTTGTTTTTCTCTACATCAAAAAGTGCAAACTGGCAACATGGGGTGTTTATGCAAAATGTTATCAAGACAAAAATCTAAAATGTTCCTGACAAACATCCGAGTTATTTGAAACAGGAGAGCCTATCCCTCACTGCACCATTTACAAAATGCACAAGTTGGCAGATGCCGAATCAAAGCTTTCAGTGCAGGTACACATAAAAATAAAAAGGGAGAACAAGATGCCAATTTAACACTGTTAGATTTGGATAGATTTAAAGATTTAAAGAGTCATAGACCAGAAGAGATGGCCCATGCCTATTGATTGTAAAAGGCAGAAACATCAAATCAGTCTTCAAACTTAATACCAAAACCTAAAACACATGTAATAAAAAAAATTTTTTTAAAACGAGCTCTCATAACGTATGTATACGACTGTATTAGAGCGCTTAGCTCCTGAGCCAAGTATGTGGACAATGACTGTAAAGGGAAGATGCAGGTATATCAAAATGATACCACCTCACTCACCAGGCATCTGAGTGAACACTAAAAAGGGTAGAATAAATCAACACAATGTGATTGATAACAACCCTGTGTATGAGCACAATATGTGCCATCCCTCTGAAAATAATCACCTGGTTTTCATGCGGAGGCTTTAAACAATACCCAAATCCAAGGACAAGATTTTGCAGCGTACCAGAGCTTGTGAGATGTGGTGGCTGCATTACTTTATATGTTTCAGATCAACATTTTCAGCAAGTACAGAAACATCTGTTGCTCTTGCCGGAAATGCAGTGTCCTCGTCACTTCCTGTAAGGTGAACTGAAAGCAAACATTCTTATCACCTTCCAGGTGGTCTTATGCAAACTGCCAATTTCCCTCCGTGTAATGGAGGAAGACCCAATTGTAGCCCAAAATCAGGAGAGCAGCCTGGTGACCACCTTGACCCCTGCATGGATAGAATGTGTGAGTGAGGGTAGTAACCAAAAGCACAGGACAAAGAATGAATAGACCGTGTAAAATCCTCAAATGGTACAAGTATTTTAACTAAAAGAATCACTCCCCCCAACAGGTTACCAATGCTAGATATCAAAATGTCTCATCTGAAAAAAGGTGTGTACATTACGTCAAGGCAAACAATTAAATTCAGATTCTCACACAACAAATATAAATACAAAATAGATTTACCCTTGAGCTGGGAATAGGCAATGCAGTTCCATTCACCACGGCCATTGCCAACACAAGTACACCTCATCATGTGACCTTGATCATGCGTTTTGTCCCACTGATCACCAACACGGTACATGACACCCTCATTTGTTGTGCAAATTTCTTCCTGAGCTAGAAGAGAAACTACTATTTACCAAACTGATATATGGAAATTCAGATTAGAATGTGTGCTCATAGCATATTCCTACATGCATTTCTTTCTGCATTGTGGGATTGTCCTTAAAGCATAAAAGAAAATACAGTACCACCTTTTATTCACATTACTGCTCCCCACTTTTAAAAGTACCACTTTTTCTAACATTGTAGTCAGTTTAAAGACCCAATGTTAATTATTAGTCCATATCTAAAACAATTTTGCATCTTTTTTTAGTAGATTGCAACATAGTGAAACAGCTAAAAGAAGAACTGAGAAGGGGGGGGGGGGGGCCCCCCCATTTTAGGGGAGGGGGAAAAAAAAAAAAGAAAAACAGAGGGGGGGGGGGGGGGGGGCACCCCACATTTATGAGAAGGGGAAGGAGAAGAACTTAATTGTGGTTACTAGGGAGTAGAAAGATATCCACGTGCACATAGCAATTAAAAACAGAAAACACAATGACTACAGTACACAGAAAAATTGAAAAAAAAGTAAACATTTAAACAGAAACCAGGCTACATTCAAATCTATAAAGTGTTTTTCCGATTATGAAAGTATCTCACCTGCCATGGGACAGAAGCCAAATTTCTGGTCCACATCATAGTTCAAGGTAGTGCCGCACCACTTCATATTGTCACGGCGGCCCTCTGATGTGCAGTCTGTGTAATTACGGTTGTTATACAAGAATGGGAAGTGGCAGAGAGCTCCATTGGAATTACCACCCCGTGTCTGAACCAGTGCTTAAAAAATAAATAAAGAAATAAATAATTCTGCTTTTAAATTACTACAACAAAATGTCTTCATTAAAGAATCCCATTTTTATCTTTCTAAGAATAACTTCTACACCCTGAAATGTGTCCTGGACTATACAGCTGATAATAAATTACTGGGGTTACAATAAAAAAAATGTTTACAGTCTTGTATAAACTTCTAATGCATGCAAGCCTTACCATGCTGCTCAGTACAGAAAGAATACTTCTTTTCCTCATCATAGTTGGTGGTGGTTGAGCACCAGAGTTTTCCATCTTGGCGACCCTCTGTTGTACAAAAGTAGTAGGTTTTGCCATCATGGATGAAAGGGAAGACGCATGGGTCACTGTTGGAATTGCCCCCATAAGTCCCGACTGCAACTGTTTAAACAATATAAAAACCATTGCATTAAAAAAAAAAAAGCAAAGTAATTTGAATAAAATTTCTTTTCCCTCCCAAGAAGCTGCAGGACTTACCACTTTCCTCACAGCTGACTCCATTGCCCAGACAGGTGCAGAGCATTTGCTGACTTCCCTGACTTTTCAGCCATTTCATGCCAACGGTATAGAGGACTGAACTGTCAGCCACACAGTGCTCAATATCTCTTGCAGCCGGGTAGATATTTATTTGTGCACCAGTTCCAAGGCCAACTTCTACATTTAGGAAAGAAAATGCACAGTGAATAGGTCCATATTAGAAGAAAAACTCTGCACAAGAAGTCAAATCAGAAACCTGCTGATGGCATCCAAGAATAATTGCAAAAGGCAGGAATCGTACAGCTGTCCTTTTTTTTCTTAAAAAGGAGAACTTTGGGGTCAGTGTTTTTCCCCATAGTTCTCCTTAGGGTAACGGGAGTACACAAACTAGTGTCCTCCCGTTACCCTGAGCTACAGCTCACGGTATACTGAGATGCCGGAGCAGATCCCGACTTAGCTGACGGGATCCGCCCAGCTGGCTCTGCCTGTCTAGAGGCAGAGCCAGCTGTATGAGCCCCCTCCACCGTCCGTTCTGTCCGCAGTCAGCGCTGGCAGATCGGAGCGGGGAGAGGGGAATCCAGCCCCTCCCCCTGTCACAGCAGAGAGCCGTGACAGGATCGAGAGGTTAGCGAACCTGGTATGTGTTCGCTCACGTCCCGATCTACTGAGCCGACCTGTGACAGTCTCATTGTCACAGGTCGGCTAGAACTATGAGGTGAGTGGAAATCACTCATCTCATAGTTCTCCTTTAATACTGTTGGTAATGCCTTTAACAGCAGCTAGGGAGCAATGAAGCAGCTGTTACTCATGGACAGCATGAATCACCTGAAGGGAGCTAGGTAGAAAGACCTGAAGAGCCAGGGAGTGTGGGACAATATGGGCGGGCAAGGGGGATGGTATAGGGCACTTGGCTATAATATAATTGGCATGATTATGCATCCACTGCTGTCTAAAGTGAGAAAAGCTTGTTTTTGATGGGACTGGGAATACCAGTTGTGTTTTGGCCTGTAACAACAAGGCTTTGAGAAGCAGGGCAGTCATAAGCAAGACTGTCATATCTGAATGAAAAAAAAAAGCAGAGGCTATTGGTAGTCTTTGTATTTCCTTTATAGGAAAATGTTGGACAACTGTTTGAAATATGCCTTTACAATTCAACTATAGTAAAGATGTTGGCTTTCACCAAAGGAGAAACAAAAAGCTACATCTATCAAGGATGGTATCATCCAAAATTTCCACAGCGCCTGCGAGGAAAGTTATACTGTACCATTTACCCAGATTGAAAATATAAGATTTGTAAGCAAAAATACACTTTAAAAAAAACAAACAAAATCAAACCACCACAAGGCAGTATAGTATTATGCAATGTATTAAAATGCACTGAAAACGTAAGAGCTCCGGGAAAACAAAATTCTTAACCCTTGCAGTGGGCTACCAAAAAAAATAAAATGGGTACAGATTAGATTAGAAATAACTGTATTTATGCAATTTCTAGTAGATGCCCACCTTTCCAATATTACATAGACAAATAAGCATAGCTGTAACCAGTATCGCATACAAAACTACTGGCTGGTTATCACTTTAGAACATCCACTTTGCCTTTGCCTCTATACAGTTTTAGTAACCTGTGAGAAATCTGTGTGTTACAATTCTAGATCTAAATATTAAAATAATCCCTCCATGTGAACATTTGCTACTACTACTACTACTGACATTTCATTTGTTCTGATTATTATATTAGATTTAAAAAGATAAAACTATTATTATATCACTGAGCCTGCCAGAACTCACCACTTGCAGAAGAATGCCTCTCACACTTCCACTCGCCACGCCCATTCCCTGTACAGATACACTGCAGCAAGTTCCCTCTGGCATCAGTCTTGCTCCAGGTATCTCCAATCCGGTAAGAGGTCCTCGTGTCCTGGTCATTACAGCGGTCTGTATTTTTTAAAAATGGATAAATAAATCACTTAAATAATTCCTAAAGTAAGACCTACAAATCGGTCCTATAAAAACCGACAAGTTTAATTTTTAGGAAGCATGCTGAAGAAAAAAAAAACCCCCTCCACTAACAAGTATAATAAGCGCATTTTCTTTACAAGGAAAAACATAAGCAGTTGGAACTAAGTAGGGGTAAATATCACATTTACTACTTTATAATTATGCTGCTACAAGTTCTCTTATACATTGAGAGTTAAAGCATTACTAAAGACAGACAAAAGAAATGTTATATATGTTTCTACTTCTCTTTAACAGCCATCACCCTGTAGCTTTACATTTCTATGCCCATAAATACGTTTAAACAGGTGTTAGGAAACCCATTTACTTCCTTTCCTGTACACGCGTGTCTACATTTCATTCTGAATTCCAATATATTCTACTGTTTTCACATGCAGAAACACTGCTCAGAAACTAGTGCACTTTTTTTCCCCCATCACTACCCTCTCAAAGCTCCAACCCTCCTCCCCAATATCCCGCACACACCTCTACTTTACCAGCCTCTCCTACAGCCTGAAGCCTAGCTGGGTATGATGAAAGACATTGTGGGAGATGACCCGGGAGGCACAAATAGAAGAAAAAAAAAGCAGAAACTGCTCCTCAGAAGAGGAAGGGACATGCAGCATTTTTAAAAGAATATTTGAGCATAAAAAAAAGCCTTTTTATCTATTTCACAAGGCTTGTTCTTAATATGCAACATGGTGCTGGCCCCTTGAAATCTCCTTTAATATTTGAACTTGTGGTTCCAAGACAGCATCGAAAGCAGGCAGCTCTTGAATCCTTTGCCATTCTCCTGTGGCAGCCTATAGACAACAGGCCTTTACCGTTCTGTTTAGAATTAGGGAATTAGGATAAATTTTAATAAAACTGTCATTTGTGTATGACAGTAATCCTCAGTCGGCATGCTGTAAATTCTTGAGGCAGTCAAATATTTGTAAAACAGCCAAAAAATTTTTCTTTCATCTACAACTCTGGAAAATACTTTAGAACAAGTAATGGGGTAGACAGCTCCCCCATGACCATATGTACAGAAGCAACAGTCAAATCTATGCGACTGTACTAAATTAGAAAGTCATTTAAATTCCAACGAAACAATACGCAGTGTAAATTGTTACCAAACGGTATACGACTCAATAAAATGCATTTTACCACATTTCAGTTGAGGCTATGTGCACAGTCATGCTCCCTTACAAACATGTTGAGGAATCCAAAAAGGAGTTCAGTAATGCAATGACTTCAATAAGCTTCAATAGAAATTATATGTCATGATCTACCTTGTTTCTAAACTTGTTTCTAAGCAGCTAGCCTGCCAGTGTCTGCCAGGCCATATAGCAAAACCTGAAATATAAAAGCCTCAGTTTTCGAAGTCTACAATTATTAGAAAGCGAGATTCATGAGAAATAGGAGGGTTTCAATAATTTAAACATTCATGTGGGGAAAACAATTCCACTTTAGTGCAATTTCTTACTGTAAATTTATGTTTTGAAGCAAACATATCATGAGCTAAAAGAATAAATGCAGGTTATGGCTCATGTGAATGGATACAAGACACAGTAATGAAAAATACTGAAGAAATTAATAATTTAAAATTGCTATGGCATCATTTGTCTTTTCATGCAGTGAAGGTGATCCGGGAGAGGTTGGCAGTTTAAAGGCTGGCCCCAAAACTCTCTGGAAGACACCTCATCTTTATTGCTGAAGCTTTTTTTTGTGGATGGTCATCCATTTGGAGAGTCATATGAGAAACATGGGTGCTTACCACCCGGTTTCCCCCTTTATTTAAAAGGGAAGGATTGGCTGACATTGGAAGTACTTGTTGCCTTCTAGCTCTAAAGAGCCCATCGGATCAGGTCATTTATAGCCATCCTAAGAGTTCATGAACAGATCGTGCATGTTTTGGCCAAGAGATAGTGGTAAACTTTATCTTATGAGTGGTTATCACCTGCATGTGCTCCTTTTCAACTGTTAAAACCAAGTACAGTGTTCTTCCTTATTTTTTTATTCTAATGAGGATATAGCCTGCATACTGTAGATTTAGCAGATCCAAACCCTTTATTGAAGTAGAAATAAAACAAATTCTAAAAATTAGCAAATGTTGATTGGTAATTAAAATTGTGCATAGGTTATGCTTTCGTGAAGTGCCAATATTAACACATTTGCATTCTTGTCAGACTAATCAGATTCTCCTCTGTAGCTGAAGAAATTCCTATATTCTCATACTCAAACTAGCCATCACTGGGTTACTCTCCCTTTGTGTAATACAGTGACCTACCTTTTCTGTGCTTGTATAATTCATATTTTTACTCAATAAAAGCTACTGAAACAAGACAGACCAGATTTGTTTTTGCTTGCATCAGTCACCACTGTTCAGCAGTATTAGCCACAATTAGAGAACACACCTTTGTGGCTACACACTTACTCTTTTCCAATAAATACTAAATTTCTACATATTTGTTTACCTGTCCTAAAATGATATAAAAGTACAGCAAAATATAGGCGGCAAAGAGTAAAATAACCATCAAGTACATGTACTGCAAGCAGAACTTACTTCTAGATGTACATGTGATGCGTCCACTGCCTTCTCCCAGACATGTACAATCCACCATCATCCATCCCTGGTAAGGCTTTTCCCAGGTTTGTCCAACCACATAGGATGTACCAGCTGTGTTATCATAACATCTCTCCGCTATGAGAAAGAAAAAAAGATGGGATAACGTCCATAAATAATAGGAGCTCTGTCTCTAAAAACTTAGCAGCACATATATTTTGTATAAACCACAAGGTTGTCTCAACCTGCTGGTGAGGTCAATGTTCTACGGGAGATCTTTTTCACATATCTTGGACTTGCCTATTCATTGCTTCCTATTGGCAGAAGATAGCGGAATATGTACTTCTGGTTACATCTCAATTCCACTTGATCACAAAAATTGTGCATAATGGGACTGGTACAGGAGTTGGCTCCTATTAATGCCGAACACACTCTTCTCAGCTTACTTCTTTTCTATGCCGGTAAAGCAATAGCAACGTTTTGGAAGAAACCTACCCCGTCTATTAAGTTTTGGAGGAAATTGGTGAATGAAAATTTGCCTTTATAAATCAGGATACTTACCATTATATAGGCTGCCCCACTAAATTTAATAAGGTGTAGGATGTTTGGATTGAAGACCCAAACTCAGCGGTAGATTCTGAATCCTAATGTTCGTTTGTGTAGGAGAACTATGAGGCGAGTTCTTTTCACTCACCTCATAGTTCTAGCCGACCTGTGACAATGAGACTGCGACGGGTTGGCTCAGTAGATCGGGAGGTGAGCGAACATATACCGGCGTTCAATGACTGCCTGCTAATCTGCTCCTTCATTGATTTGAGGCAGCTCTTGAGCTGCCTGCAGACCACGCCTTCCCTTTTTGCTTAGTCTATCTACGGCTATGATTCTAGCATGTGAGCCAACTGAGGGGAGTTCCCCTATTTCTGGTGGATTCCAGCAAGTTGCACAGTTTGTACGGTTGTGTACTTTATTTTGTTTTATATAAAAATTTCAAATTATTTAAAACAAAATAATCATGTTAATACAGAAAAATGATAAAGATATTGCCAAGCAAGATCAAACAAGCCATACACCCTTTAACATTTTGTACTGGTCTGCCTTCAGCTAATTGTGAATACTATTCTCATTTAGGAGCAAGAACTCTTAACTGAACAAGGCTGATAAAGGATCCCTGTAAAAACAGGATGCAAATAAAATAATGCTAGCTACAGCACACAGGCTATACTTTGGAAGCACCTACCCACAGGCTTGCAGGTCCATTCTCCTTTGCTATTACCAAGGCATACACACTCCAACATATAACCGCCAGTTTCATGGGGCCTACGCCAAGTGTCACCAATCTTATAGGATTGTCCACCCTCATGGCAGCGATCTGCAGGGAAAAGAAAAACAACTAATGAATCCATATCTAGGTTGCTCTCACATCCCAGTCCCAATCTCGGAAAAAAAACCTCAAACATGTTAAATGGCACAATAATCCGAAGATCCTGTCATTCAAGAGTTAAGTTAACTGTTATTTCAGATGCGAAAATGTATGCAAATCAAATGGGCCAAAACGTAAAAAAATAAGCTAAATAAATGAACGGGTCAAAGAAGGGTGCAGTCTACCATGTGCAAGGCACATGAAATTAAATATTTTGTACACCTTTAATGAAGATTTGTTGGGCAAAGTACGTATTTATGCTGATGACACACAGATGTGCAATAAGGGTGTGTATTAATGCCTGGGGGAGTTTGTAACCTTGAGTGGGTTTTTTAATTGCTGGAAGATTGAACTGCACTTTTTCCACTGCTTTCACCAATGTGTCTTTGGGCAAAGGAATCCTATGGCAGAGGACAATAGTGTGGGCACAATATTGGTCAAAACAGAGGAAAAAGATTTGGGGGTGCTTATTTCAGAATTGCAAAATGAGCAATTTGGCCTGGCAGTGGGGAATTCTGGGGTGCATCACTAGATGAATCACCAGCAAGAGATACAAGGTTGTGATTCCCCTATATAGACCTCATTTAGAATAATGTGTCCAGTTCTGGAGATCTCAATTACAAAAAGATAAGATAGAACAAGTGGAAAAACCACCAACAAACATATTGAAAGGTCAGTACATTCTGGGGGAAAGAAAGGAAAGGGGAAACATGACTAAAACCTAAGATAGCTTAAGGGTTTGAAAAATATTCAGGAGAGCAATATTTTAAATAGCGAGAAAAATACTTTCTAGAGTTCATCGAAAGGGGAAGTTGCTGCTTAGTGTAGACTTCCAGCTGAGGTAGTGTCAGACAAAATTAGAAAAAACAAAACAAAAAAAAAAAAGGGGCAAACTCAAAGGATCAGTTAGTCTCCTGCCGTCACTCTTCCGCATGTCTATCAAAACTTGGGGCTGATTAACAATCTGTCCAATGTTTGGAATGTCACCCTTTCTTTTACATAGGGAAAAAAGTTATATAACCTGATCTACTTTAGAAAAACTAACCTTCGGTAAGCAACATCTGGTTTCACACCTTCAACTGGCTCATTAACACCTTTGTGTCTTTGCCTGTACAATAGGACCCAATTTGATGGTGATGCTGGAATTTTCTCACAATCATAGAATATACAGAGTGCAGATAATTATATTACACACAATATTAACATTAGCCATTACTTGCGATGGTGCAGCTGATGCGTCCTCTTCCAGCTCCAACGCAGGTACAGTCCCAGATCATGCCATCTTTAGGTCGCTCGTAAGTTTCCCCAACCCGATAAGTGGCGCCCGTGTACTTGTCAAAACATGTTTCTTCAGCTGTTCAAGGTTTTAAAAGTAGTTTATTGGATGAATATTTATTTAGAAGAGCAGTTCATGTTTTATTTTTATTTTTTTGTCAGCGCTTCCTAAAAGGGGTCAGTTGTAAAGAATATAGTGGTGTTTAACTGTCCTAAACTGTCCAGGAGCTACAGATACAACATTCTAACTGAAATCAGCCATGAAGTGGACAGTCAATAAGAGCAACCAACTATCACTTGTCAGAAAGGTTAGTATCAGGGAGAACCGCCCCCCCCCCCCCAAAAAAAAACAACACCACAGCATTCCTCTAAAAAAAAGGTAGAGAAACACATTTTTCAATTTGTCTCGGTACTCTCTTTTGAAGTTAAGCAACCAGCACAAATGTTGGTACTCGTTTTTAGAGTAAGGAACCCCAAGGTTTTGTAATTGATGCCTGGCTATATTTATAAGCTTGTGTCTCCTGGAGGTATGAGGAATGGTATAATATACCAGGCTTTACAAAATAGGCAGTGATGCCAACATGTAATCATAGTACACATTTAAGGTCTGGTGGTCCCTCCCTATATGCATTTAATCCTCAACCCAGAACTGACTGAACATTGGTACCCCCAATTGTAGCTTTTTTGGATTTATTGTAATTGTAGACAAGATGAAAACGGAATAAAACTTAAGATATAAGAAAGCTCCCTGACATTCTTTGACGCCCACTCATTTTTAAAATAGAATAAAAGCCCCTTTTACTCAAGGCATCATCCTCCATTTTAGAACAAAAGCACTGCAGGTATACCCACCCTCAGGTTTACTTTCACAGTTGAAGCCTCTGATTCCACCATAGCAGGTACAGACCAGTGTATTGCCCAAATAAATCCTTTCCCATTGCTGCCCAATATTATAGGTTTTTCCATTGTCAAAGCAGCCTCCTGTTGAGATCAATTGGGATTTAGTTACTATAACTAAAGATCTGCAGAATGTTTATTCTAGCACATTTATAAAAGCAAGCCAAACACTGCATGACTTGATGACTGCTAATGTCCAGAGCTCACACAGATTAGTTCATACACACACCTATTCAGGATGACCATTAGCATCTTTATATTCATTGAAGCTAAACTTTTAATTTTGTCTATAGTGCTCAATTAATGAGAGCTGGAGCCCGTTATGAACAAAGTCACTAAAATATAAAAAAGATAAGTCTTCCAGAACTGATAGATTCCAGTTGTTAGGCAATGTTAGTTGCAACACAATTTTAATGCATATGGGCTCACATTCCATGACCCATTACCCTCTATCTGCCAATGTACCTTTAGAAGATGCAGGATATAGGCTGTCGTTGCCAATCTTAGCTACTTATCTGTAGGTCTTTGGCTTAAATATTTTGTAAATCTAACAGAACAAGTATGCTGTAAAAGGAACTCAAAATAAGTTGGAACTCCTTATCTGCACATTTATATTAGCTTAATGGAGAACTAAAGTTATTTGAACAGTGTCAGCAATGGAAGCCTACATATTTATATATATGCACAGATTCCCTAGAACGCCGAGCAAGTTCCAAAAACCATAGCAGGCAGATTTCACGGGTTTAGAACAGCAAGAACAAGAAAAGATGGATTACTGCACTTTACACAGAAGCCTGAACTGGTCTTGCTCATTAAAGAAAATAGTGTGCAGTAACTCGCATTACCCAATATAAATCCTTGCAGCAAACAAAAATATTTAGATAGATATGGGCTAATACACAAAATTATTGCTCTTGCGTAGCTATACTGATTAGTATTAGATTAAAAAAGAACTATGGCCAAACCTTTATTTTGACTTTAGTTCTCTTTTTGGGTCACAGGAGGACATGACCCAGAGTCTGTAGCTAGTGGGCTACTGCCCGCTATATGGTGACAGCGCAGAGCCATGAGGCAGTCAGGAAAGATCCTGACAATATTGTTAGGATCCACAACGCTGCCTGATTGACAGCTGGTCCTGCCTCTCTAGAGCCAGAGCCAGCTGTGCCTGCCCCCTCCCATCTGTCCCTCCAATGAGCACTGGAGGAACAGAGGGGGGATTCCTGCAGAGAGCAGTGACCGTCAGTCACCATTCTAAGCAGGGAGAAGTCATGAGCTGAGTGATCTATGGTTTGTGATCACTCACTTCTTGATCTACAGAGCTGACTTGTTTATACTATTGGGAAGAGTGCCTTTGACTCTCCCAATTGTTTTCCTTTAAGAATGCGGTCTTATATTTAAGGTAGCCACATACCATAGATAACAGCTATGCATGCATGATTCAACAACCAGGAGAGTTTGGTGCATAAACATTTATGCTGGGACACCAGCATGAATGTTTATGCTGACGTAGAAGATAGGCTACAGACATAGGACTGCCAACAGACCTAAGACTGCCAACCAATCTGCCTAAAATTTGGGTAGCAGTTATATCTATGGACAGTCTCTAAATTAGTCCGACAAAAGGAGATGCCCGGACTTATTCACTGGCATGTTATGTGCGTGGCAAAAAAGGGTCTAAAATTCACACTTCCCTTGGAGGGAATGAATGCAAAAAGGAGTAATATTTTCAATTTGTGGTGCAATATGAGAAATACTACTACCTGATCTCTGTACATTTAAATACATTAAACTAACTGACCCTATGCCCTTGGGCCCCAGAATTAAGTGATCTCTTACCAATGTCAACTGTGCTAGCATGAATCTCTTTAAATGGTGCATTTTATTCTGGCAGGGCTTACCTTCGCTCAGGATAAAACATCTGCATTCTATTACCAGTCTGTACTTCTCACTAGTTGTAACAGTAATGACGCCATATGGTCAAGTAGCTAAAGTTGCCACAAATCATTCTCATGGTAACCAATGGTTATCATTCTTGTGGTAACACAATGCTATATTTGCCTAGTAAATATTAAAAAGTATAGAATATCCCCAATATTGGAACAATCATGCAAAATTATAGCCCAAATAAAAGGTGAACTGCAATATACATTCATTGTCAAACATCTACAAATGCCAGCTGCAAAAAGTCACTACCGCTCTAGAAAAAGACATGGCAAAAACAAATACACAAAACTATGTCACAGCTTCTGGGAGTTTTCTACATTAAACAAGATTTTTAAAAGTACCAAGCATGGATTTCCCAGTAAACCTGGGAAGAAAAGGACAAATGCCTGCAGGGACTCATTGTCAGGTAAAAGCCAGACCTAAAAGGGGGTTGGGGAGGGGGGCTTCCGTAGACTACAGACCCTATATAAAACTCCTGGACTGAGGTCAATAGCCCATGTAAAACAAACAATTTATCATATTTCACTAGAGTATTTCAGATGATTTTCCAATTAACTCAACTTGCCTTTAAACGAGTAGCAGAGAGCCCCTGTTTAACCAATTAAAAAAAAGCGTTTACCCCTTTATGAATATTTATATCCGACAAGGAAATATTGAATTACTGAAATGCAAAAAAGGTGAAAACAGATGCAGTATATAAAATGAAAAGGCTGGTCACAGACCTCAGATGATAGTTGGATGCGCAAACATGATCTAGCTTTAGTAGTAGAGGCCTTGCTGTCAAGATTCAGGCATAAACAAATGCTCAGGCTCATGCCTATGGTGGACAAAGAAGCTGGCAAGAAACACCACAGACAGATGATTTCTAGGGGAACAATACAACCAGTCTCCCACAGGGTCTGCTTGCACCGAAGACACGAGACAAATGGCTAAATCAAGCAACACATCTCATGCATGCGAGTAGTTTAACACCTTTATCAGCATAACTGTTGCCAACAGTTAAGTGCAACTGAAATGCGCACTTAAATCGTCTGGCAACATAGACCAAAACACATGCATTAAAACCAATATACAGTAGAATCTGCAAGAAACATCACGGAGTCTTGCTCTACTGGAGTATAGATAAACTGCATTCTGAAAGCTTTTGATATGCACATGTATGTAAGAGGGCAGGAAAGTCATACTCAAGTGTTGAGCAAGGCCAGACATCCCAGGAACCACAAGTCATGGCTCACACATGCTTTGCAATGCCGTGTACATAAGCATTTGTATTCACTGTGCAATTGATTTTGCATTCTAGTCATTACTGAACAACACTTACTGGATAGAGGAGAATTTCCCTACATAAATGAACCAACACCTATACAAGGTACCAACACATATATAAAATGGTCTGTATAGGAGAAGCTTGAAGATGGCTACATGTGGCAAGACTGGACTGGCTAGCATGACACTGTAGTCAACCTATTGTGCAACAGATTTGGTTATCCACCTAAATATTGTAATAAACTTATAAGAAACAAAAATACACGTTTGTATAGGCTAGAACATATTTTTATGCAACATTTTGTATAAAGTTCTGCAATGTCTTCTATTAGATTGGACACTATTTTTATGCAATATACTTTTATATACTCTTATTGGTTTCCTCTGCTTTATGTTGGAGGCAATATATGTTTAGTAAATTGGATGGTTCTATTTACTTAGAGGCATATTTATAATGGAGACAATGGAGGCAATCTGACATTTACCAAACATTAAATGTAGATGAATCGTCCATGTGCACATGCTTCAGGGCCGGTTCACACCACAAAGTCCACGTTCCAGTGCATTTGGCCTCTGGTTTGATAGTGCTTGCAGTATTTTTGCAGATCGCACTGGACCGGAACGCAACCACTAATGTGCCTGCATTTCGGGTGATCACACTGCAACGTACTGTGGTGTGAACCGGCCCTTAATGACAGTGGTTGATCCACCGCCAGTGCATGTTCTAAACTTCTGGAGCCTACAGCCACTTATAGCCATTAGTTGCCAACCGATATAGCTGCATGATCATGCTTCTGCACGATCTTTACACAAGCATACACATTTGTATGTTTGTTCTTAATGGGAGCAAAGCTTATATCACTGAGCATACAGAAATTGGTCAGGAAGATCCATGCAGGTCAATCAACTTTGCCCAAGCAGACCAAGCCTAGGTCATTGAGGGACTGCCATACAAACTCTTCTAAATGGACTCTGAAGGCAAATGTTCATCTGTAGATCCCTTAAAAGGAAACTTGTACTGAGAAATAAATAGAGGATACAATTGGACTCTTTAAAATGCTTATTGCCTGGCTGCCTATAGATACAATACTTTGAGACATTCAACTGGAACAAGCAGGCAGACCAGAAGTCAGAACTCCTAGTCTGCCTACTTACTCCAAGTTAGTGGCCTAAAATGTATTAAAGCTCCTGGATCGGCATAACAGCCAGGGAACTAGTATTTACAGAATGAGACACAAGCAAATGGCAGTCTCCATACTTCTTGACTGCATATTGAAGGAGATGTAGTGATCCACCTGGAGCCACAGAGACTATAAAAAAGACAAAAGTAAAACGTCACTTTTGTATCACAAAATCTTAAAGGCGTTTGAGGCATTTATGTGTTCATTACCCCAAACAAGTTAAGGAGCTTGGAAGGGGATGGGTGAAGAACAAAGACTTTTTCCCTGAATTCACACTTGCCTTGTAATTACATTTAAGCCTGGTGTGTAAAGTGCCAAAAGGTGCTATAAGTATTGCACTTTAGATAGCCAGAGGCTATATAGGGCAAATGACAGGACAGAAGAAAAAGCATCTTATGTTTAACACTGCTGGCAACCTCACACCCATTGTTTTCTACGCCCATTAACAAAACACGTAATGGATTTCTAGGATTTTTGTAGCCTACAGCCTTCTGTTCCTCCTTTCCCTCTGGTAACCCAATTTCCTTCAGGGATACTTTTGTATTTCGAAGACTGCTAGAGTTACAAGAGGAAGCATAATAGAAACCCTATAATTTATGCTTTTTTTTGGCATATCATTACATATTTTACAGTATACAATCTATTCAGCATGGCTACAGATCAAACATCTTGGATATCAAATGACTGCCAGAACAGCCCATTGGTGTCTGTTATGACACAAAAACCACATGGGATACAAAAATTATTCTGTGCTGGACTGATAAAGGCATGCATTAGTAGCTGAAATCTATTTCTAGCCAGTTATGTTATTATACAGCAGAACAAAACACCCCATAAAGATAATGATAAACAAAGGGATTTGGAAGCATACAGAACAGTGCCACTCCCTAAGACACTGTTAACACAATAAACCTAATCTAAAAATGTATTATTAAAAATTAAAGTTGAGCCCCTGCAAATATTCTTTAAAAGCTTTGAACAAGACTAGTAAGAATTATAACTTCAGAAAGGATTTAACTATGGCGATTCCACTGGGGAGATCTACCATGTGACACTAGGAGAAGATGGGGGGCATTAGGGGGGGCCATTGGAATAGCAAAATACAAGTAACAATAAAAACATGCCAGGCTTTCTAATCTTACCACACCCTTCAAACTCAAGTATATTTTGGCCAGGTCTCCATTGGAAAGAATTACCCAGCAACATCTGCCGTTTGACCCTATATCATCTGAACAAGAAGTAATGGGGGGCACATCGCAAAGGAGATATAGACATAAAACAAACAGGTTCTAACCCTTCCTAAAAAGTTTTGGAAGAGTTTTGGCTAGAGTTGGGCTTTAAGCAATATAATTATCTAGCCAACTGGCAATTTAAGGCCCCTTCACATTGGCGCCATCCATTCTGATCAGCAGGGCATCTATGCATGGATTCAAAGCAAAACTGAATGAATTTCAATTTTGTGACATCCATGTCTGTTCAGTGTTTTTTTTCCTTCATCGAAAAACTGAACTGGACCTATGTTGGGTCTATGGGCACTCAGATGTAAGTGGACAAGATCAGGTCTGCCAAAACGGAACTTTCCTTTTTTTTCCCCCCAGACCTAAATGGAGTCTAGGGGAATCGGATGTAAACAGGAGTACATCCATTTACATCCAGCTGCCTACAGAGTTACATTGGGCTTCCAATCAGGTCCTCCTAAAAAACAGACAGACATAGCTGAATGGACAGACAACATAAGAGACCTACGATATAAGACAAAATGCCCATTCTAACTGTATGTGGTTCCTTGTTTTATTAACCTGTACACACGAACATCCTCACTGGGCTTGGCACTACGGGTGTGCTTTATGAAAACACTAGTCATGCCAGTACAGGCTGAACCAGGAGTAGGCAACATTGGCACTCTAACTGTTGTGGGACTACAAGTCCCTGATGTATTGGCAGCCACCGGCATGACTCCCAGAGGCAGAGACATGATGGGATTTGTCTTTTCACCATAGCTGGACTGCCGAGGTTAGACAGTGAAAGCTTCAACTTGACGGGTTGCTATAGTCCATGGCCCTTTTTTTTTTCTTGAAGTTTTCAATATTAAAGTGCAGAATGCTACAAATATTCCTTTATTATTCTATAGTGTAACAAATATTACAGACAAGGTCATTTCATACTAATCTGGGTGTAACACATCTGGAGCTAACCTCCTCAGGAGATGGGTGTGCTAATGGAATCATGTAGCAGTAAATCGCCTGACAAAAGCAAGTTCCTTGTAAGAAACTTTTCCTGGTTGATGGGTCATTGTTCCAAGAGACAGCTAAACAGAAGACATGAGATAGAAACATGTAAAAAGGAAGAGAAGAGTTGCAAATGGCGACCAAAACAGTCTTTGTTCCATTTCCCAGGAATAAAAGATGTAATGTGACTGGTCACCATGGGAAACAACTCACTTCTTCCACATTTTCCTTTTCTTTTATACATAGCCCTTATAACATTACAGTGCAGGGATCAGACAAGTAATAAATTTCTTTACAGCAATGCTAGAGAAAACACTAGGAAAGTAATGTCATCTTACATAACCAAGAACAATGAATAGTTTACTTTTAGATGAAGACACAGAGGGGGGGATCAAAACTGGGGAGCAGGCAGTTGTCCATAGTAACCAGCTTCTATCATCAGTTTGTTCATTTAAGGTTTTAAAAAATTAGGGAAGCTGAATGGTTATCATGGACAGCTGCTCCAGTTTTAAAAAAATCCCCCTCAGACAACACAATTATTATATGCTGCATTATA